AATGAACGTATAAACAACAATAAAACGTATAAAAGAGCCTATAAACAATACAGCAACAAAGTCAACAATGAAATCAGAAATGCTAAGAAAGAATATCATGACCGATACTTTAAAAACAAAGAAAACGATTGCCAAGGAATATGGAAGGAGGTGAACAACATGCTAAATAGGAAGACAGATAAACATATTGATGACAAATTGCTGATGGCATTTTGAAGACACTTCAAAATTGATATACTTGTAAATACGTTTGCTGACCATTTCATTCAACAAGTAGAAAATATAACAGAAAGCAATGTAACGGTTAACTCTAGCAACAATAACCAAGTGATGGATTATCATGAACAAAACTGATTGCAACTTTTATTTACCTTGTACAAATTAAGAAAACTTGATCAAAATTATAGAAAAGAAAATTAGCTTCAAAAAGGCTCGAGGGAATGATGGAATAAGAACAACAGATATTGTGAGCAATGCAGATGTACGAAGTGGAATATTAAGCAATCTAATAAACAACTGCATTAGAAATGGAATATTCCCGGAAGGATTATCCATTCATTGCTCCATTATAAGGCGCATTTACAAAAGCGGAGATATGAGTAATCTCAATAACTATAGACCTATATCTATCCTCCCTGCTTTTGAAAAAATATTTGAGAAATACATAATACAAAAACTCAATTAATATATGAATGATAACCATATAATACATAAAAACCAGTATGGATTCCAGAAAGGTAAGGGAACAGAAGAAGCTCTGATCCAAGTCACAGATTACAAATAATAATCTCGATAAAGGAAAGGAGGTAATGGCAATATTCATTGACTCTCCAAGGCATTTGACACTGTTAGTCACAAAATTCTGTTGAGACTTGAAGAAATAGGCATTCAAGATCGGTTGTTAAGATTGTTTAAAAGCTCTCTAGAGCATAGAAAAATATTAGTCAAAATAAACTATATCTTAAGTCATCCTAAAACTATCAGTCATGGAGTACCGCAAGGAAGTTGCTTTGAGCCAGTGCTCTCTTTTAATATATGCCAACAACATATTTAAAAACATAGAAAAATGCAAACTTTACATATATGCAGATGATGCTGCTGTTTTGTACTCTAACAGTGATGTAAACAAATATGAAGACAACTACAAACAGAATTTAACAAAATTGTTAAATGTTCACATGAAAACAACTTGTATGCTAAACCTGTATACCAAAGTAATTCATTTCAAAACATGGAAGAAACATAAAAACTTAAAATTAGGAAAAGTAACTCTGCATGATTATCAATGCACAACCATTGGATATAGTGATAAATGTATCAATATTTACTATATAACACATTACTCATATCTAGGAGTTGTTTTGAATGAGTACTTGAGATATAACTTGCACACAAATTACCTGTTCAACAAAGTAAAAATGATAGCTGGATGTATGTATTCAATTCAGACTTTGTAAAATAAAGTTTGAAAATTATATACACCCCTCTAATCAAATCATTACTGAGATATGGTGTGCAAGCCTGGGGTGGTGCATGCCTAACATACTTAAGCAATTAATTAGATCACTGGTGAGGTAGATACCTTTTATTATTATGATAAATAAAGGATGTTTTTTTATTTAATAATTAAATAAAGGATGTCAAGGTTCTGCTTGCTACAACACTCTAACACCAAAAAAATTCTTCATGTACCTCAATATAATTCAGAACAATAATGCTAATAAATTCAAAATTGATGTACCAAATGGGTACAAAACAAGAAATCCAAAGTACCGAATACCATTAACATACAACAGTTACAGAAAAAGAACTCTTAAGTACCTGATACCTAAACTATACAACCAGATACCCAAAGACATTAAATACCCAAAAATCAACCACAAAGATTTTAACAACAAAATTAAATCATGGTGGCAAATAAACGAAACTATGGTGTGACAACCAACAACATGGTGTGAAGGACTCTATTGTCAATAAAAAAAAGAAACTAGATTGAAATTCATAAACAAAATTAAGTAATCATAGAATATTTTCTGTGAAATTAACCATGTTTATAATGTGTGTACCAAACCAATACGATATACTGTTATTGCAAAATGTATTGTGATTATGTATTAATTTGCATCATACACAAATAACAATGTTAAGTCCAAACATAAAGTACAAATATAAAATAGGTAAAATATTAGATTGGATTGACAATCAACATCAATGCGTGCAAAAATAATAATAACAATAATAATAATAATAATAATAATAATAATAATAATAATAATAATAATAATAATATAACAATAACAATAATAATATTTGTCACATAAATACAGCATACGCCTTGTATGACCAGTCAGGATATGTATATAATCATACAATACACCATACAGATATTTCTAAAAATTAAATGTAAAACATACATTAAATTCAAATCTTGTATTAAATACAATATCATGGAAAGCTATGATATAAATTATTATTAATTTTATAATGGTAGTGTATGAAGACTTAGGTAAAAAATCAATAATAATAATAAAAAAAGAAATTCTTTACTGAGTCTGTCCTTTATATCCAACAAACAGTTTAGGCCGGTTTGGAAACATACAACAGAAAATGCAAATATTATTAGTACTAGTTTATATTGATGTAGATACCTGTTTATGATGCATATATTATTTTGTACTGTAGAATATGTGGTTTAACAGGAAAGCTTTCAGATTATTTTTGAATGTGTGTTACGAGTTTAATTGTTCACTCTATGTAAAATACTTGTATTAATTTGTTGTTAAAATGTTTTACTGACAAAATTGTTTTAATAGTATATGAATTGTACAAGAACCAGATGATAAGTCTCTAACTTATCTGGATCCTAACTAAAGAAGTTAATAAATTACAAATTACAAATCATTATAATAATAATAATAATAATAATAATAATAATAATAATAATAATTTTATTAATAATAATAATAATAATAATAATAATAATAATAATTATTAATTATTATTATTATTATTATTATTATTATTATTATTATTATTATTATTATTATTATTATTATTATATTATTTATAATTTAGATGAAAGTATTTATTTCATCCAACTGGACATAACATATAACATGGGACAAGTCATTTTTATATAATACACCACAATAATATAATACTATATAATAAAGAAACAAAATGTACACACAATAGAATCATATTTAACATTAAACATACTTAATGCAAGCAATCCGATTAATATAACTTCAAAACACTTTTCAAAGACAACCAATGCTTACATTAGAGGCATCAGCTCAACTGCGGTCTAACCAACATTTTTGGGAGATTGGGGTCTCTGTGGTAATCACACTTAAATCTGCTTATCCTCAAATTTGTAAAAATTTTAGTATACTCTCATCAATACTATTCAGAGTCATTCCAGAAAGTGATGTTATTGCAATCAGCTTATGATTACATTACTTTGTGTAGTAGTAGCCTATGTAGTAGTAGTAGGCTGTTCTTTTGACTAAACAATCACAATAATTTTTATTTTATTAATAAAACTTTAACATAGCTAGTGAATCAATTTATAAATAATATTAAAAGTTAATTTGACCAGGACTGTAAAGAAGAAAGATTTAATGACTGATGGATTCCATACCATCTGTGTATCATTCTTTTGAGGAAGATTAAAAACATTCTGCAGAAGAAAGTGCAGAAAAATTGCCTGTTAATGATTTTTTTATTAAATTAAATCTACTTTTCAATAAATTTTTGTTGTGATCATGGCCTTACTTTCATTTATTATAGTTGTCTGTAAAATTGGTAATGCAGTAGTGGCCTAACACACAAAACATTGTATTTTGCATCTTTCAATATTGGCACTGTTATGAATAGTAAGGTACAACACCAAAGTAATTATTTAAAAATTCCTGCATTTGCAGCACAAAAACACTTACAAATTATTTTTTCTAATGTTGCTAATAACTTCATTAGCCATTATTTTCAAACAGGATCTGGGGATTGGCCACTCCTGCATCTATACCCTCATGTACAGTAATTACATACCGAAGCAAAACAAGATGTGAACATCCTCCAGTAGAACATATATTTTATCCTAAATAGCCTTATATTTTTCAAATTGAAATTTTTGAAAGTTTTTTTTATGTTTCACTGGTTAAAAGGAAAATCTATGGGTGCACATATGTTGCAAAGATGGTTGTTCATCTTTATCTACTGAATCAAATGTTGGAATCTTTTTATTTACTATGTTAGTCCTTCTCCTGGCATGGGATCAACTATTGCAATTGATGGAGAAAGTTCTTAGATTACGAGAATGTTAAATGGAAGAGAACTCCAAAGTGGATTTTTTAATTCTCTGAGGAAATTGTAAATAAAGCGGTAAAATAATTTTGTATCTCCTGAAAGAAACAGATTCATTTTATCACATAAAAGACTGTGAATTAATTTTTAATCAATAACATAACTGAATTAATAACATAGTTTGTTTGATGTAAAAATAATAAATCTCTCTCTAGTGACTACTATGTTTCATCTAACATTTTTAAGCAATATATTAGAGAGAAGGAACTTAATTTTTCAATCTGTAATTGCAAATATTTATACACCACTATATTCCAACAGTTGAATAATATATACTTTTCGTTGTTTGTACGAAACTGACATCTTTTCAGTTTATTATATGGGGATCATTAATCATGTTTCAAGCATCTTCGCATTTCGCGCTGAATTTGCAATGTCCGTAATCGATTTCAGCAGCGCCAACAAGAATGTACTGAGCCATTGAATTTATTTCTCACAGTTGTAGATGTAGTCATACAGCTCGATAATTATTATTAGGGGTGACTTCACTGTGGTTTATATAACATAAAGCTTGCAGAAATGTATGAAAAGCAGTTTTCAATGGAACGTGAAATGTCTCCATGATTTAGAAACTTGTCTTTATGCGGTTGGTAGCGATCCTTCGGATTTTTGCCGAATCCTGTGAAGTATTCTGTGCTTTCTCCAAGCACCTGTGCATCCTATTTCGTTTCGTATTTTGGAATGGTTTCATGTTTTCGCGATGGCTGTGCGAGTGAGAGTAGGGGCTTTAAAATATGTATTATATGTATATAAACGTGTAATATGTGGCACTTTTTAAGTTCTCGTTACGTGTTAGAAAGGATGTTCGTTTGTAGTTTATTCGTGAATTTGGGTGAGTGGCCACTTATCCGTTAGTGCTTTCAATCCTACAATTCGGTGCCTGACAACTGTGCGTAGGCTAGACCAGGGCCATGACAGGAAGGTGAAGAATGAAATAGTGTCAAAGTTATTGAATGTGGAGTGCTATTTCGCGTTTATTTTCAAAGACGAATTCAAATTCAAGAAATAGTGAACCAGTCAGTGACACGAAAATCATGGATCGAGGTGAAGATCGCCGACGAACCACCGCTGACTGGGAGCCACAGGATACTTACGACACTCGGCAGGTAAACTAACAAGGGACTTCTTATTTTGAAAGCTATCTATTAATCGTAGCAAGTACTTAAAATAAGTAGTGGGTGGATACGTTATTCTCATGAGCATGTTTGACGGGTGGCTGTTTGATACCGTTTGCCATGTTTCAACAAAAGCTGAGATCTGTGTAGGATGAGGAGGCGTGGTAAGAACGCCCTGGGTTTTTCGTTTGTCATTCAAGACTTACCTATGTCTTGTTAGAAATAATTCCCTTTTCACTAGCGGTTCCATGTTGTATTAGAAGTTTTTATATTGCTGGAATCATCATATAGACACGAGTGCTGTGAACGAAAATTAAATGTATCGCATGTGTTTTGAATATTATTTACATGACGTACATACATGCATACAGTGCATAACATAGTGTGTTGCATAAATAAGCTGACTAGGACTACTGATTCTGCTGTTTTTTCAATGCTTGAATATGATCATTTAAGATAACAAATTAATGTTCTCAATGCTGTAGGTTGGTACTTTCTGCAATGAAATGTTTCTGAAGTATAGCTGTCAATTTTGCATAGTATTATCATGTTTGTTGGGTATGCATTTCTTGTTTCATCTCTGTGTTCTTCTAACAACAAATTTATGCAGTTGAAGATACGAGTGGTTTGCATTCATTTGAAGATAAAGCCATGCAGTCTGAAAATGTGACGGTAAATAGTTAGTGGTAATACAGGTATGTGATTTTAGTAGGTGAAGTTACCTCCCATTGCACTGTTTTGAAACCACTTCAACTTGAATGACACTTCAACTTTATACCGAATTGAAAAATCTACAAGCATTCAGATTTTAGTAAAAAGATGGATGCTGAAACTTAACTTGTATTTTGTGTGAGTTGCTCGCATGAATCAGTTAATTTGCTTGTATGACACTTTTTTGTGGATAAGAAATGATAGCAAGAGATATATGCTACTCATGTGAGTGTGCCATTAAGAAAGAAGATTCTGTCTATGGAAAAGAGAAAGAAGAAATGCCTGCATCAGGAGAAATGGAAATTTATGGTCTGTTGAGAGTTCACCCATGCTTGCAGCTGCACTGTGCTGCAGGAGCTCTGATTGGCCATCACCTGTGGGGAGAGAGCAGCAGTACTTGACTGGAATGAGGTGCTGTTCAAGGAGGGTGGCAGTGTGCTAAGGAAATGTGGCCTAAATGTGTATGACTTGGAAATCTTGCCAAACCCTGGCATTTACTGTAGCTACATATTGGATGTGGTTTGTGCTAGGTTGTGTACGTGTATGTGCAGTTGTGTTACAAGGACCCATGAAACTACCCCGGCAAAGTGTTGGGATTCATAACTTTGAAGTGAGTAAAGTGTTGAAAAATCTTGCTTTGTGGTTAATTGTAAAGCTTCAGAGGCTTAGGTTAAGGTGGTATGATTCATAACATAATTTGACATTAGGTTATGAATAAAGGTAGTGTGGAAATTTGAATAAAGGTAGTTGATGTCTCTTAAAACTACAGCTTTGATTTTGAGAAACAGTAAGTGTGTTAATACAGGGTTAAGTTGAAATCAAAGAAAGGGGTAAACAAAAGACAGTAAGAGATGCACAGAGGAAAAATAGCTATTATAAAAAATTGGTGCAAAACTGTTAAAGAAAATATTTTCTTGGAAACTTATTTTTTATTACTAATTTATTTCGGAATCTGTGGGAAGTGCAGATTTTACAAGCATGAACCTATCGTGTAAGGTTATATTGTTTTGTCTATTTTGTAGAAAGTCAAACTGAGTTCAGTGTCATAAAAAGTGTTATTAGAACACAAGCATTTTAATAATCAATGGCTCAGAATTAACTACTATAATCAGTTTTGTAATAGGTATTGTAACACAAAAATTATAACTAACAAACCAGGGCTTCTATTAACAACTATCAATATCAGTCTGTCACCTTTTCTAAGGTAAATAGTAAAATTCAAGCAAAAATAATAGTACTTCGGAGATTTTTCAATGTAGACAAAACATTGTACGATTCTCATACCATTACGTTGTATAACAATACTCATTTGTTTATCAAACTAATCCTAATGGTCTCATATGGTGATTTTTCTAATCCTATATTGTAATAAGATGTCTTATGGTTCTTATTGTAAATAACTAATAGAGAATAGTGCTAAAATGGAGAGAACCCAAAAAATAATGTTCTTCTCATTTGTTTTCTTTTAGTTGGTGAATTATTACAATCAGTCCTATAAGTTAATTTTCTTTTCTTTTCTATTATATTCAAATAATGCATTTATTGAAATCTTGTGTATTAATTTTGAACACTAATAGTTTGACTGTGCTGTTATTGTTTTAACCATTGATTTAAGTCCTTGATTCAACTCTTAGCATTATGGTTATCAGTGTGAATCTTCAGAGCCTGATCAGTTGCAACATATTTAAAAAGCAAGGTTAATCTCCTCTAGGAATAACCACATTTATACATTTGGACCAAGATAAAAAATAATTAAATTAAAAAAAAAAATATACAATCATGAAAGTATTTTACTGAATTTTATTAATTTGGTTGTACTTCAAGTGATTTTATTGACATAAAAGTATACTAGTTGAACTATGAGAACACTTATCAAAATTGTAAAGTTTATGAAGCTAATAAATAGCACTAGAAAGAAACATTGAGAAGCCTTGTGGATAATTTGAATAATGCATTCGCTGTGTGTAGCGTAATTTATGGTTTCCTAGGGGAAGGGGGGCAAGATTGTCCTCAGTAAATTGAAGTTTTCTTTCAGTGTTGATACATTTTTGGGAAAGTAGGTTACCTAATTGCTGTGTTTTGGTTTGGTTGTGCTTTGCTAGAAATCGAAGAAATAACCAAACAGCTTACTTTGTGCCTTTCTTTATTCATCATGCGCGCATCGTGCATTTTGTGCTTAAAAATGCATAAATCGGGAGCAAACTTTGCGAAATTTCCGTGTTTTTTAGTTGATATTTACTTCTGTCTGCAAAATCACACCAAAGCAATAGTTCGAAAGAAATAGATATTTACAGAAATGATATGTGCTGTGCGATGGAATTTTCAGAAGTTGAGTAGACGTTGCAGTACATTTTTATTCGCGGGGTGCAAATGATAGGAAGTGGAAACCGTTGGAAACCGGTCCAGCTCGTTCACCCCTTCGGTCATTGCAGCATTGCAGGTTCTGCGGGACCTACCGCACAATCGCCCCGGTTGCTAGAAGCATCTCAAGACGCTGCAGAATTATGTGAAATTGTGTCTTCAGAATTTGAAATATTGCTTCGAATGATTTACATGTTCGAAGAATTTAACATAGTCCTGTGTCTTCGCCGGTTCTCTTTGAACGTAAAAGAATAAAATTCGAACTAAAGTAGTGTATCAAGTTTTGAGGACATTTTGATTGGCATAAGCGACATATTACCGTAATAATGAAGAGAAATTAGGGAACATTGGGTGTGTTCTGGAGATTTGTTAAACATATTAAATGAAACTGAATAAAGTTGAATGTTATTTTTTGTTTCCGCTGGAATCTTGTTTTTCCAGGTTACCAAAAGGGAATTCGTCGCATAAGCATTTCGCCTCCTTAACGGGTGGGGAAGGCCGTAAGATATCGAAACTATTCTGTAGAACACTATGGTATATTCTGTTAAATGCCTATCTCAGTTTTATTGTAAATAAATTAAAATTTTGTAAAAGTGAATGACGTGGAATGCGTAAGAATGGAGACGACTAGGAATCTATCCAAATTTAATAGGTCGTAACAGAGCGAGATACAATTTTTAAAATGTTATACATTTTGAATTGCGAAGTGTTTCTAAAACAGGTTTTCAATTATTGTATTGTGTATGAAAGACCACGCCGTGGGTAATAATACGACTCGTTTATTTTGGCAGTGGGCAAACGACAGTGCTGAGATTTCTGTCTTGCTGTTTTCGAAGGCCTTAAAAATGGGGGCGCGTGTGTGAGAAACTTTTTAAACGGAATGTGGGGCTGATGAAAATAATTATCAGACTAATTTTGTAATTGATTGAAGTTTGGTGCTGAATTACGATAAAATATTGGAGTAGGTGTTCGGCAGTTAACTTATTTAAATGATTTTAATTTACATAAGATCCGATCCAAAGAAATATACATTAAATAGAAAGTTATTAATAATAAATTAAATAGAGAACACAGGGAGTGTAATCTAAAGTGTTGCCCAACTTTACTTAAGTGTTCTAAAATTTATTTGTGTGATGTTCAAAAAGTGTTGATAAATTTTCTCAAGGTCGCGTGGGCCCTTTGAGATTACGCCCCCCCCGGTGTGTTTCAGACGACTGGAGGTTTACTCGCCCTATAACAAACCCAAGGACCTCCTGGAACTAGGGACGGCCGATGTAATATCCCAACCCGACATGTGTGTGCTGCAGCCCAAGGCCATCTGCGAGCCGTCCCTGGTTTCGGGGGCGGGGCGTGCTCGTGCTCGCGTGTGCGGGGGCTGGCTGGGCCGCGGCCAGGCCACGTGTCGGCGCGGGTGAGTGGCCGGAGAGCCACGCGCCGCTCGCTCGCCCAGCCGTACGTCTTCTCTATTGATTGTTGCGGGGCGCAGGCGGTAACCAGTGGCGTCTTGGGGCACGGGCCCGGTGGCCAGCCCTGGGCAAGGAGACGGGGAATTGCAGCATATCCCCTTGACTGTCAGCTGTATTAGCTTTTGATTTTTTGTCATTTTTATTGTTTTTTATAATATTGAAATTATAATTTGTGAACATGGATTCTGTAAAATAGTTTATTTCACTTAACCGCGGGTTGATTTCGTTCAGACGGCTTTGTTGATTACGGTTGTATTTATGTTGGTGACTGCTGTGACGTATCCCGGTGTTGCTTGCTTTCTGAATATCGTTAGAGCAAGAATTTTTAGTTGAGATGGAAATAGCTACATTTCATTATTGTAGTAACTTAACGATTTTCTAAACTTAGTTTTATTTTAAGTCTTCCTGTTATTGAAGATCCACGTTTGGAATATTACTCTATGGATAATCAGT